GTTCTGCTTCAAACTACTGTAGCTACATGGATTTTATTTCCTTAGTCCTGTGGTTTTTTTTCCCTGCTTTTAATGTCATACAGTAGTGTATTTACATTACTGGAGGTCTATAAAACATAACTGTCACAAGTCACACAACATGATAACTAGAAAAATTCCACACTCCTTCAAAACAGTCTTGGCGTAACAACCGTATGCATAATGCTCCCAAGGAATCAAAGCAGCACTTCAACGAGGAGTGTGACTTAGTATGGTAACTGAGGGTTGTCTTCTTGAACCAATGTCAATTTCAGGTAGAATATGAAATTATTTCATAAAATATAATCTTGTTCTACATTCTCTTGACAGTACTCCCAACAGAAAGCGTCTAGTCTATTGGCTGTTTCTTGGCTGATGAGACATTCATCCTGTAAGTCCCTGACTGTCTTCCTCAACGATCTCTGGAATTGTTTTTCTCGGTCTAAGACGTTCTGGAGACTTTCCTTGGCATCCTCTAGCTCGCTGATCACATGATCCAATTTATGCTTCAGCTTCCTTGGACTGTCCATTACACTGTAGCTGTGCTCCTAAAACCAAAAAGATCAAGTTAGTAAGCCATGCAGACACATCGTTAGTTAGATAAAAGCTTTTAACTTAGGCCTCAGCTGTTTATTTATTATGCTTGGAGACAAACTTTTAATTAATTAGTTGCAGTGGTGATGCCTTGGGCTGTGGTCCTCACGGTCAGCAGTTGGAAAGCATCAGCTCTGTGGGAGGAAGGGGGCTTTCTACTCTCGTCACAGGTGAGCTTCTCGAAGCCCACGGGCTTTCCTATGGATCCGCACCGACTCGACAGCGTGCGCTGGGTTTGGGCTTTGGAGTTGATATGTCCAGGCTTAATGAAGACAGGAAGAGGATGGGCTAGAAGCACTATTTACGCTGTTGAAGGTCTTTCTCCTTTCTCCTACGGCTTGGCAAACATGAGGAATACAGAACATTATGGAAGACATGTCTATTTTTCATCTGGGAGTCAATGACTTTAGAACTTTAGTTCCCCAAGGGGGGCTGGAAGTTTAGTTTTCACCTACCAAACTGATTCTCTCGTCAACTTTTCAACCAAGTCATTTATTTTGAGGAATTTTTCGTTTCACAAAAGATGACAGGAAAGGAGCACAGAAGCAAGTCTCCTGACTTGGTATTACAGATCTGGAGAGTTCTCTAGTTTAAAAACATAAAAACAAACAAAAAAGAGCTGTTATACTTACCTGGCTGAGTACTTTCCCCCCTCAATTTGATACTAAAAAAATGAATAATATTGGCATATCTTATCTAGGTACTACTATAAAATAATTCCAAAAGGTTGCCATTTGATATTGTAACGAGTGGAGAAAACTTTTGCTTTCAGCTAAGATGAAGAGTCTGAATTGACCCTGTCACCCAAGAGAATCAAGACCGAAACAAAACACATAAAAAACCATTTTCAGGAAAATGGACATCACATAAGGAAGGCAGTGGCCCCTGAGAGATGTGAAAGGAAGAGCGTGAACCCTACGGTCCTCCATGTGACTGCCTGCCTTGAGCGTGTCTAGGCTACAATGCAAGTAGCCTGTTCGCGTTCTGAGGAGGTCGTGGAGGCTGGAGGTCACAGGACAGTCCACGGAGAGAGAACTCTGGAGGGGTTTAGCAGGTGCCCCTCTAGTGCCCTGCAGGAGATCAGTGCATGCACGAAAGGCCCACCAGAAAAGACTAGGTCTGAGACTACTCACGGAGAACTGGGAATAATGCCTATTCCTACCAGCCAGACTAGGACAGGCTCATTTCCACGGGGCAGTGTGTAGCCTGCCGTATGCACTCGAGTATAAGCCGACCTGAGTATCAGCTGAGGCACCTAATGTTACCACAATAACTGCACTAAAAATGTGCTGAAAAACTCAGCTAATGCACAAGTACATACGGTATACACAAAAGGGTCTTGTCTTACTCATGGAGAAGAGTTAGTCCTGGACAGCAGCATGGCTCTGGTGCTGCCTAACAAAGCACAGGCTGAAAGGTTCAATCTTCTTCTTTTTAAAAAGATTTAGAAATCATTTTATTGGGGACTCTTACATATATTATAACAATCCATACATCCATCCATTATATCAAGTGGACATGTACAAATGTTGGCATCAACAATTTCAAGATATTATATTTCTTATTGAGCCCTTTGATATCAGTTCTTTATTCCCTTTCTTCCCCTACCCTACCACCCCCGAGAACCCTTTATATATTGCTATTATTATTTATACATATCTTACACTGACCATACCATCCCTTCACCTGCTATACTGCTATTCTGCCATTGTTGCTATCTGTTCCCCCTCCCCACCTCCCAACCCCCTTCTTACTCTTACCCCTTTCCTTTCCCTAGCCTCTTGAAATCATTACTTCCATTACTGTTTCTAAGAGGGGTTTTCTATCCTGAATTCTGTATTTTGAAAGCTCTTGTTTGTACTGGTGTATGTACACTGGTCTAACAGGATTTGTGAGGTAGGATTGAGATCATAACAGTGTGGGGAGGAAGGATTAAAGAACTAGAGGAGTGTTGTATGTTTCGTGGGTGCTAAACTGCCCCTTGGATATATCTTCTCTTTCGTGTGGCCCTCTGTGTGGGAATGTCCAATTGTCCACAGATTGGTTCTGGGTCTCTACTTTTATCCTTCTCCTTCACCTCGATGAGGCTGTTTATTTAGAATCAATCTACTTCTAAGTAACTTAACTGTATCCCAGAACAAAAATCAGGAATATAGGGCAAAAATATTTAGCACTCAATAAAGTAAAATATACAATGTATAGCACCCATAATTTACCAAACAAGCAAAGAAACAGGAAAATAAGAAATAAACCGATCAATGTAAACCAACACAAAACTGAACTGTTAGACTTAGCAGACAAAGGAACTAAAGAGTTATTAAAATTGTATGTTAAAAAATTAAGTAGAGACATAGAAGGTATAAAATGACCCTGAAGATGTAAAGGAAGTAATTATAATGTGTGAGATAAAAATATGCTGGGTGAAATGAATGGCAGATTAGATATTTCAGAAGAAACTATTCATGAACATTAAGATATAGCAACAGGAATTATCCAGAATGAATTACAGAGAGAAAAAATTTATAATTTTTTCTGGTCCTCATTATTTAAATAAATTAAAAAAAATTAATTTTCAATATTTTTGTTCTATATTTTTGAGTTTTGCTCTAGGATAGTTTAATTAGGCAGGACCAGGGCAGTGCTGCTGTCTAGGACTAATAATTCTCCATGAGTAAGACAAGACCCTTTTGTATATACTCTACATACATTTAAATATTTTATTTAAATAAAAAAACATTTAATTTTTAAAAGAAAAACAAGAAAATTGGAATGTTGTGGCACAATTTGAATTTATGCACATGCAATTAAATCCCAGAAAAAGAGGACAAAAGTTGGGGAATAAAAAAATATTTGAAGAAATAATACGGTAGTTAAACAAACAAAAAATGAAAACTATAACTCTACAGATGAAGAAACTCAGTAAGTCCTAAGTAACGGAAACATGAATAAAACTAAACCATATTAGCATAATCAAACTAGCCAAAACAAATGAAAAAGAAGTTTATAAAAGCACATGAAGAAAAATAAGACATGTTACAGAATAATAACGGTACATTTGCTATTAAAAATATTGTCAGAATACAGTAACATTTTAATTTATTTACATTTTTAAAGTGCCAAAGCCAAAGCAAAACAAAAAATGCCTGTCAACGTAGAATTCAACACTAAGTGAAAATACCTTTTAAAAATTAAGGTTAAACAATTAGTTGTTCAGACGTACATAACATGAAAGATTTCACAACCAAAATACTCTTATGTGGAGGAATGTTACAGGAACTTCTTTACGCAAAAGAAATGATACCAGATGGAAATATAGATTTACACAAAGGAATGAAAAACTATGAAAGTGGTAACTATATAAGATTTTTTGTTCTTATTAAATCTCTTTAAAAAATAAACTTGTTAAACAAACTAGTGTAGGATTTACAGTTTGTAGAAGTGAAGTGCATTACTATAGGAGAAGAGAGGCTGAGAGGGACATGACATCACTTAACTACAGTCTGTAACAAGTTAAAGAGGTATGCTATAACACAAAAAAGCAAATACTAAAATGATGAAAGTTACAGGCTAATATGTCAAAAAGGATGTAAAATGGAGTCATACATCTAAGACTCAGAACAAAATCATACCCAGTGTGAATGGGGGTGGGGTGGGGGACAGAGTGGAGACCCAATGCCCATCTGTAAACAATTGGACATCCCCTCACAGAGAGGTCACAGGGAAGAGATGAGCCAGTTATGGTGCAGTACAGCATCGATGAAAACACACAACTTTCCTCTAGTTCTTTGGTGCTTCCTTCACCCCACTATCATGACCTCAATTCTACCTTACAAATTGGATTTCACCAGAACATGCACACTGCTACAGATAAGAGCCCGCAACACAGGGAATTCAGGACAGATAAACCCCTCAGCGCCAACAATGAGAGCAGAGATACCAGGAGGATTAGGGGAGGGTGGGGGCAGAAAGGAGGAATCGATCATCAGGATCAACCTGGAAACCCCTCCTCAGGGGAACGAATAATGGAAAAGTGGGTGAGTGGCGACAGAGGACGATATAAGATATGGAAATAATAATCTATAACTTATTAAGGGTTCGTGAGGGAGGGCAGGGGAAGAAATGGCTGATATCAGGGGCTCAGGTGGGAAGAGAATGCTTTGCAAATGATGATGGCAGCATATGTGCAAATGTGCATGACACACTGGATGAAATGTATGGATTGTGATAAGAGATGTAAGAGCTCTCCCCAAAAAGTTTTTGAAAAAAAAAAAAGAGACTCTATCATGGATTAAATCAACTCCCTAAATCAAGTCATATAACCCTTGTTCCTGTGAATGTAGCCCCTTTTGAAAATAGTGTTTCTTAAGAGATATCAGTGCTATAGCAAAGTGTGGTAAAGAAACTACATGCTGCACAGCTATCAGATAAAATAGTTTCTGGTGTCTGAAAGGCTTGTTTCCAAGCAAGCAACTAAGTCCACATGGAAGAAGCACTCCAACATCAGTAATCAAAGGCTTGCAAATCATATAATCAGAAGCTGAAGGAGGAAATAGTATCAGAGCCCAAACTGTGAGATTCTGGTTTGCAGAAGGCTACAGATGACAGTGGGAGCCCAAGATACATTTGTAAGATCTATACAGGAAATAAGCCTGTGATGATTTTCCTCTATACATAATAGGAGGGTAGGCATAAACTGGTTACAAAACAGAGTACACTGGAGAGATGACTACACGAGATCTTACGGATAAACCAACTTGAACAGTTAAAACCTTGTCAACTGATCCCTCCCATACACATTGGGCCTGACCTGGTTTTCAACACTTTGCGTGTTGTTTTTCTTTTCCTTCATATATTGAGGTTTAGCAATGATGTACTTTGTCATTGGGGTAGTCCTCTTGAATTTTTGTGATGTTTTTCTGGTTTTCATGATATGAAACCCTGGATTGATGAACCT